CGCCACAACCATGGTTAGGAGTAGAGGGAGCTCAGAAATGTCTCTTGTGCAATATAGTAAAGTGATCCCTCCATAAATATACAAAAAGTAAACACAAAAGTTACATTTCTATGTTTTTGAACATCAAAACATGCAAACATCCTGGTAGACTCCAAAGAGATCATTCCAAACCTGTTTTGTGCATGTTATGGGTTCTTCAACCTTTTGAGCTCAAAGTAGTTTTTAAAACTTTTTATTCCTGTCATGTTTTTTCTTCACTGTCGCTATAAAACCAACACCATAATGCCATAACATGAACTAAAATAAAAAGATAGACTTGTAATCAATATTTTTCTAAGTTCCTACAGGCATTACCAAGACTGGAAAAAGGGGTGATTCTACAGACTACAGATTGTTTTGTATTTTTAATGTATATGCTCTGTTTAAACACAGTCTGCAGTTCATCCCAGTGAAGCCAAAAGACAACTGAATTTTTGTCCTTTGACTCTTTGTACATCTGATTCACACCAATGAGTCTTAGGAGTTTTTTTTTTTTTTTAAATTTCAGAATCTGGTTACAGCAACCTGTTTCTTATGGAGAATCTGTAAATGTGACATGTACAGCAGACTGATTGTGATGAAATATCAGCATTTTAAGCTCAGATTTGCCTACATTTACACGTTACAGATAAGTAGTTTGAGAACCATTTTTACCGTTACTGACTCTGATAAGTAGTTGTTATTTTGGCAATTTTGTAAAGACAACATGCCTTTCAAATCTACTGGTGGGTTTAAGTGTTCAGAGTGTTAACCAAGAAAGTAACTGGAAGATGAATCAGTCCTTAAAATCATCATTGAATGTGTTTAGGTTCAAGTTGATGGACCAGCTGCCTCAGCTCTTCAGTCGGCTCCACTCCAGTCAGTCCAGTCTGGCTGAGCGTGAGCAGCAGCCGCTCAACGTGTCCAGGAGGAACTACTTCAGGAGCAAGTCTGGACGCTCGCTCTACGTCTCCATTTGCAACATGCACCAGCACATCAGCCAGAACCCCGACTGGTTCGAGAAGCAGCTGTCACCTGCAGGAGGCACCTCCGCCTCCTCTGACTCCCCCTCCAAACAACCTCCTCTCCCTGCTGCTCCAAGTCCTCCCCCAAAGCCTCCCTGCTACTCCTCATCTCAGCCCGAGCAGAGGTTCGACTCTGGCCTGGTGCTGAATGAGGTGGTGGTGAGGACGCCGCCGCTGGAAGGCAGCGATAGAGCCCCGAGGAGGAACATGCTCCTGCTGGCCCCTGGCTCCAGTTCCAGCCTCAACCTTGGCCCAAGTCCCAGTCCCAGTCCAGGTCTCTGTCCCAGTCCAGGTCTCTGTCCCAGTCCTGGGCTGTGTCCTAGTCCAGGCCTGCCACACTGCACTCTGTCTGCGCTGGGACCAGCTTCAAGGTAATAATACCACCTTCTTTTTTAACCTCCTGAGTTCAGACTAACACAACACCATCTGACTGCTGCTGCTGTTTGATTCTTTCAGGTCAACCTCTGGGATATCTGGACTTTTACCTGAAGAGCCTTCCTCCTCCTCATCATCCTCAGCTGCCTCCATTCTGCAGGATGAGGTGTGCCCTGTCCCCGCCCAGCCAGAGGAGAGCTGTCCTTCTGCTCCTGAGGTCCCGCCTCCTCGGGATTCGGGTATCTATGATTCGTCTGTCCCCTCTTCAGAGCTTTCAATTCCTCTAATGGAAGGACTGTCACATGACCAAGCAGACTCCTCCTCCTTGGCTGACAGCGAATCGTCTTCTTCTGGGCTGGGTAAGGCAGTTATCTGTCGAATACAAGAACCTCACCTGATGCATCTTGTATTTGAAATATTGTTCTGCTATTAGCTTTCAGTTCCTCATGTAACTTTGCCGTAAATAGCTGACCACATGTTTTTCAGGGGACGAGGAGCCACCGGCCGTCGCGTCGCTCCGCTGCAGCGCCACCGCAGTGTGTAAAGCCGAGCTGCACCACCATCACCACAGCGACTCTCTCGCTCCTGTGGCATCATTGTAGAGGATGCCAACAGCCAATCAAAGGAGGACCCAAAACTGTACTGGTCTTAGCCCTGAAAGTGCTGTCATCCCCATGGAAACAAAACTGGAAGACATTAAAGGCATTGGAGGAACTCATATGTGGAAACAAAGTTCTAGAACACGAGTTCTTGTCAGCTATGGAGACCACTATGTTGTAGGACTCGCCTTTGCATTCTGAAACACTAACTATGGCAACTATGGTGACACTACTTCCTGGTAATCATGGCAACCACTGATGTTAAACCTGTAGTCCCTACTAAATGTGGTAAACACCACTGTGTTTCTTGAATACTGTTACCTCGTAGCTATGGAAACCCCTTCATTTTGAAACTCCATTCCCCAGAGTTTATGGTAACAATGCCGTTCTGCAACATTAGTCCATGGTAACTATGGTAACCACAAAGTTCTAGGACCATATTCCCTGGTCACTGGGGTAACCACTGGGTTGTAGAACATTGGTCACAGGTAGCTGTGGTACTTACTGTGTTCTAGAGCAATAGCCCAGCTAACTATGCTAAATACTGAGTTCCACAATGTTGACAACTACTATGAATGAGGTAAATACGGAGTTCTGAAACACAAATCCCTGGTAACTATGGAAACCACTGCATTTTTCGAATAACAGTCCTATTAACTATGGGAACCACAGAGTTCTGGAACACTACTTCTTAGTGGACCTTTGGTAATGACTACATCTCTGAATACCAGTCCAGGTGACTATGGTACCAACTGAGTCCTCAAACAGTAGTGCCTCGTCACTGTGGTAACCATTGGGTTGTGGAGCATTTGTCACTGTGGTAACCACTGCATTCTGGAGCAATACCCAAGTAACTTTGGTAACCAATGTGTTCTAGAACGTTGACAACTACGATAACTAAAATAACCACTGAGTTCTAGAACCATAGTCCCTGGTTGCTGTGGTAATCACTGAGCTGCAGAACCTTGGTCACCAGTAAATGTGGTAACTGCTAAGTTCTGGAGCTTTACTCCCTGGTAGCAATGATAGTGATGCATTTGTCCAAATAACGAGGATAACTGCCATGTTCTGGAGTGATGATGATTCCACTAGCTAAGGGAAACACAGAGTTCATGAACTCTGCTCCCTGGTAACTATGGTAAGTGGGTCATCTAGAATGCTAGTCTCTGGTAACTAAGGTACTTTGTTTGTACCACTGACCCACCTGCCTGGAGGGTTTTTGAAGGACTGGATCTCCAGACGCAGGTGGATCAGAACCAATCAGTTCAAACCAAAGACTGCCTCGGCACTGCATACTGATGGATGGATGGATGGATGGATGGATGGACGGATGGATGGATGGATGGATGATTAGTGACGGCTGACTCGTGTGTTTGGGTAGAAGTTCGGTACCAAAACAAGACTCTGAAACAAACTGCATGTTTGGATGCAGAAATGCGAGAAGGCACAGGATCGCAAACATGTTCAGATGTGGCCCAGCAACAACATTCAACAGGATCAAAGTAGCTGAGTGCTAAATGCATGAACACATAAAGGACATTGAGATTTTGGCAACAGGAGGCTTTTTGTACTATTACTTGTAATCTCAACATTTTGGACCTACAACAACAATTTCCACAAAACCACATGAATACTGTTTTTTTCTAAAGTTGCAATACCTTAAATGTGCCTTTTTATATTCAGAGTAGAAAGGGAAGGAGCATTGTGGTACTATTGAAGACCTGTCAACAATGGTACCAACACCTGATAATGTGACACGATGTGGGACAAGAGCATACACTTGTGAACTGAAATGTAGTTTCTTTTCACTGCATCTTAATTCAGACAATAAAATTGGCATTTATGCATGATAAGATGTGATTACATTAAGCTTTTATGGTATTGGATATTGATGTTACATTTATAGATGTACATTTCCTAATATTTTGAACTAATTTTCAGACATTGTTGCAGGAAGCAGCAAAGATGAGGGGCTTTGGTTTTAAAAATGACCAAATTACTTTAAATAAGGCGAGTTCCTCCAGGACAATGAAAGGTTGACGAGTTTGTCAAATGAAATGCTGAAATGATGTCACACTTTGATGTATTAAGTCAAAATTCTGAGAAAGTAAACACAGTTTTTTACTTTTTATGTCAGAATTCAGCAATGACGAACCATTATTTCTACTATAACTTGAAACTTTTATGTGTCTCCTATTATTTTGACTTAATTTGAGATTTTTTATATAAATGTAATAGCTTCTGTAAGTCTTTTTTTTTTACATTTTCCTGACTGGGCCGTTGTTGATCTCTTGTACATATTTCATGATAGTCAGAGGACACTGTGACTATCAGTTACTGATTTTTTTTTTTTTTCTTTTCACGATCAGCAACTGCACTTGGTTTTCTGGATCAAAAATCACGAGTCCTGTGTTTTTTTAAGTGTTGATAAAGTCCTTTTAAAGTGTGTTTTCTGACTCTAAGTTGCTGCTGAAGGCTGAGGATCGATGGCTTTTGGTTCATCCACAGGTTTGAGTTGTTGGAAGGAAGGACTGAGCATTTCCCACTTGTAAATATTTGTAGTTTTCTCTGAAAATGTCTGATTTTATTTTGTATAGACTGTCATTTTAGTATTTTTTTCAAATTTTAAAGAAATATCTTTTTAGAGCTGTACTGTTTTATAGTACTTTAATTTAGGAAGTAAATAAATCCATCTATGAAAACCTTCTTCTGTTCATATTTTCTTTCGGTCACTGACTACTTACTGGGAGTTTATAGGAATCCTGTTGGTGTTCACATGGACGACTCGTAGATTTTTACATTTGCAGCAGGATGCAAAGCTCATCTAGCAGAAAAGCAGAAGAACTGTTGCTGGAGAAACGTTGGCGCTCAGTAAACCACTGTTTGTTCTGTTGTCTGTCGTTTGCTTCGAGCTGACTAAGAGGTTTAACTTTCTTCTAGTGAAACACTTCAGTGACACAAAAAGCAGCAGACAGCTCCATAGTGTGGACGCTGTGAGGCATCAATGCTTAAAACAACACGAGCCTGTAAAACTCACAGATGGTGCTCAAAGGCACAAAGTCAGACAGTCTGCACACGGCCAGCCTTCAAAATAAAGGCACGAGCTTCAGCTTTATTTCCGTAATTTCTGTTTGTATTGGATTTATGTGAATCTGCTCAAGATGTTTCTCTTTAAAGCAGGCAAGCGAGTTTATTTACTTATTTATTTCTTTACATGGAAAAACAATCAAAACATGGTGGACGTGAAGCAACAAGTAAAATACAGAAGAAGAACAAAAACATGCAAATGATGAAGTAAACAGGAAAACAGGTAGAATTATATAAATACATGTGCTGAATAAAGGTCGTGGCAGTTGACATCACACTTTATAAATGCAGCTATTTGTAAATTAAACTAGAAGACATCTCCAGCTCTTATTTTGACACGTGGGGAGTTTCCGCTCTGACTTAACTTCATGCAACTTGATCATTTGCACAAACCAAGAATCACAACGACTCGGTTTGTTGTTGAGCTCAGTGTCCGAGCCCGAGTTTCACTTTGACTCATTTCAAAAGAGAGAAGTTTCCGTTTTTAATTCACTGGACGAGCGACAGAAGCTGGAAACGTCTACTTGTTTGTTTGTTTGTTTGTTCGCGTGTTTTAAAAGATAAACAAACCCCTGATCGTGAGGCTGTTGTCGGATCTCTGGGAGGAGCTGCAGTCCGATGCAGGCAGGTGATGGATGTCAGCGGGGATCCAGGTGAGGACAAGCTGCTCTGGTTGTGTACTGAAGTGTGTGTTTTTGGGGGGAAGCCCGTTTGAAATGAGAATAAGAATGAGGACTGTGCAGCGCTCAGAGGCAGGCAGGGAGTTAACTGTGCCTCTGCCAAGCTGTTGTTTTATGATGAGGCTGTGTGCAGGACTTAAAGTCTGTGGTGAAGGAAGAGACAGAAGAAAAGAGGTTTTATGGCTGTGAGTCACAAGTTTGCCTCAGTGTGAGCAAACACACTCACTGTGCTCTAAATCCAAACCCAGACCAGGACCAGGCTGCTCACTAAGTTCAGTGGTCCTGATAACCAGGATCAGACCAGTCGTTTTGCTTTTGGACCAGCTTTTTAAAGCAACACTGGGATCACTGCATTACTCCAAATGGGAGTCATGGCAAGTCCCAAATGGTGGAAATCCATTTTTATTGTGTTTTGTTTGTCTTGTTGGTGTAAATCAAAAACGTTGAGAATGATATTTACCACATGGTTAACTACAGACTCTCAGTTTCCATGTGATAGTTGAGGAACTGATAGTCATCCAGCTCGGACTTTGTATGATCCTGCCCCCCTGCTATCTCTAAAATCTCTCAGAGTGCACAAAATGCTCTGCTATTGGCTGCAAGAGGGAACACATCAGTCCTCGTGCACTCCCAGCACCTGAGGACATGAGGGCTCAGTGCATTACTTTTATTTTTTATGGAAATGTCACAACAACAGGATCATCCTCGAGGCTAATGTGGCTAACATGAGCTTTTATGGTGTGCCCACAATTCAGAGCTCTGTGGAAACTACAGCTGAGGGACTTTCAGAGATGGTGGGAACTTTAACTTAAAACCAGTAAACAAGGACTGTGTGAGTCGCTGTGTTTTCATGTCGACTGTTGTGCTTCAGTGAAACCTAAACTCAGCTGCTGTTGACATCTGTTGGCTTCTCTCCTGCTCTCTGGGCTCACACAGACTGCATTTTTATTCCCTGCTAAGCTGTTCTCATTTACATATTACTGTGTTGTCAGTGACTACATACTACAACAGTGACTACAGGCAATCCAGTCACACTAAATGTTCACCAGCAGTCAGCTGACAGCCATGTCCAAGCTCCACCACTAAAACACTGACTCTATAACTGACATCAACTGACAAGCTCACCAAACACAAAGCTTCAAAGCAACTGTTGTGCTGTCAGTTTGTTGGTCTTTTCCTGTCAAATGAGCTCTTTAGAAGCAGTCATTGGTTTTGCTCTGGGCTGTCAGTCACAGACAGTCTTCTTCCTGAAGGGGCTCAGCTTCATTTAAAGCCACAGTCTGCTGAGAACAGGACTGACCAGGGCTTATACACTCAGAGTGAAACCAACCATCTTTGCGGTATTATAAGACACATTCTTGGAACATGTGAGACTTTTTGAAGTGATTTGCTAAATAGGAGCACAATTTTCAACCTTTAAAGTATTTACAGCGGATCACTTTGAGGAGACAAACTTTGACTTTATTGCACTGAAAAGCCAAACAGGAAGCCTGATGTCTGCTCTGTCTGGACCAGTTCAATAGATCAAGAGCAAAAAATACATTCCTGTATGTACTGTTTACTACATGATAGAAATAGTGTATTATTTGATCAGTTCTCAAGTTTTGTTGGATACTGTTCCTGAAACCATTCAGGATCAGGACAGTCCTGATGGACTGGGTCATAGGCTTCTCAGTCCAGACAAAAGGTTCTTAACAACACATACTGAATGTTTGATCCAGATCAAAGCCTAGATTGGATTACATGATCTAATCCAATTTCAGCATCCCCGCCCCCTCCCCTAAAAAAAAAACAAAAACATTTTGAAGATTTAATCCCATGTGATAGCTGAAATCTAGTCGACTAACTGGGCCCACATTCTATAATAAGGAACCTTAAAGCCAGGTCTGAGGAGCAGTTGGGAGTCTCACTTCACAAATATTTCCCCCTGACGGTGTAGAACTCAAGTCGGTCCTCACATTGATAACCACAGAGTTGTGTAGAGAAGCTGCTGTCTTGGCAGTTTGGTGTGGAAGTTATTAATTTGTTATTCAGCTCAAAGTCAGCTGATGAAGCTGCTTTATTAGAGGCCGAAGCACTTGCATTTTCTTTTCATGCCACTCTGCTGTAATACAGAACCACATATTTATGACTTCTGTTCTGGTTTCTCTACAAAATCATTGTTTTAAAATCAAACGTGCAGCAAAGCTGACGTGGGCTCTACATGGGAACCCAACGAGATGTTTAAAGGAGTTTCTTGTCCAGTGGAGTTGCGGTCAGGAAAGTGGACTAAAGTCTGTGACACTATTCTGTGGTTCTTACAGTGTAAAAAATACATTTTTAGGACACCCCTATAGCTCAGCTGGTTCAGCAGGCAACCCATTAACAGGGGCTGTAGTCCCCAGCAGGCCAGAAAAATCATCTTTTCCTAAAAAAAAAAAGTTTTTAACAGTTCTTATCTGTATTTTATTTTTTATTTTTTAAAACAATGAAAAAAAAACAACCAATTGACTGTTATTTTAGAGATTTTCTCTGTTTTGTCAAATTACAGATGAATAAATAAATAAATAATTAGTCAAAACTGTAAATAAAGTCTACATTTTAAAAATCTATATTCTTACAAATGATCATTAATAATTTGTATTATCTGTTTAATCTGTTTTTACTTTAAGTCAACAAAAAGTTGACCATAAGATTACAATATTTTTTCCCCCACTGTATTTAAATCAGCAAAAATATCATTATTTTACAGATATCTGTCAGTATTTTTGTAGTTTGTACAGTTGTTGAACTTTTTTTTTTCTTTTTTTTACCATCCAGCTCAAAGCTTCGACGTGTGTTTGGCCTCGTTTTCCTGCTGCAGTTTGAATGTTGCTGCACAAAGCAGAGTGTGCAGCTCGTCTCTGAAGCCTGAACCTCACCTCAGTCAGGGTCCATTCAATGCACATTTCTTGTGTTACTGCATCTCATCTGTGACTGGGAGTCATCAGTAAATCTGACTTTTTCCATCATCCACTGTGAAATGCTGCTCCGTCTTAGCCTACTCTGAGTGTTTCTCCTCCTGAGAAATGGTTCAGAGTCGCTCCTCATCCTCTGAGAAATGACCAAACAGCCTTCTTTTGACAGGATTTTTACTGATTGGAGTCTCATGATCCTAATTTAGTAAATTATGTATCTGTGATGGAGCAGCTGTTTCTTTTTCTCACTGAACAAAACCCGACGTATTGATCCTGTGATGGTGCTCAGTTTGATACGTCATAGAAAAATCTGTCATTTTAGAGAATTCTTCCTTTTTTGCGTTGCAGATTTTTGCCAATTGATTTATGAAAATATTTATAAAATTACAAAAAACAGACTAAATTGAAATGTCTAATGTAAAATAACAAGTCGTGTGACTGAACAACCATAAACAATATCTTTTAATATAGAAAGCACCTATCTACGTAAATACAGAACACATAAAATACATTTGTAGATATTTATTTATCTTATTTAATAGATGACACTATTAAATAGAGTAAAAATATGCAGATGATTATAAACTGTTAGTAACAACAGAAAAAAGTTGGGAAGAAAACTATTTTTAACAGATTTTTTGAACTTTTTAATTAAAAAGTGCTGTTATTTAATTGATATTTCTTTGTTTTGTTCAATTACAAAAAATACTAGTAAAATCACAAAAAAGAAGCATTAGTTTAGATGTTAACCCTAAAAAATTATGTCAGAAATCTTTTACAAATAGTAATTCCTTCTTTTATAATGTTTAAGTGTAAAAATGCCTAGTTTTTACCTTTTTAGTTGCTAAATCATATCAGTATTTTACAAACGTTTGCAGGTGTTTGAAACAATAATTATGAATATTAAGGACAGAAAATTGAATTTTATTTTTTAACTGTTGTTTTTAGATTTCCCTGTTTTGCTAAATTAACGGTATCTGGTAAATAAACGGAGTAAAACAAA